AGGGGCTGTGGGCAGTGGGCCGGCCAGCCCCACCCCCAAATGGGGTAGGGAGTGCTGATTGGGGGACCAGTGGCCTGGGGGAGGGGCCATGGGTAGTTGACCAACTGGCCCTGCCTCTGATGGGGTGAGGGGGCCAATCTGGGGCAGGCCAACCAGGGGGAGGGACTTTGGACCTATTATAGTGGGGCACGGGGAAGGTGGGGGCTGGCGTTTGGCCTGTGGCTAGCTCTTGGTAAGTTGGGAGAGCCTGATCAAGGGTAGGCTGGCAGGGGGAGGGGCCAAGAGGTTAGCCGGCCAGCCCCACCCCCCGATAGGCAGGTTTGCTGGTCACAGTGGGCGTCATAGCGACCGGTCATTATAGTTATTAAGACTGAGTCGCTGGCTTTTTATAAATATATAGATAAGGGAATAAGAGAAAAGAAGATAGGTAGGTAGATAAGTGGATAGATGCACACACAAACATATTCATAGCAAAATTAAAAGGAACTACTCATATACATATATGCATGGACATAGATAATAGGGTGTCAAAGGCCTAGGCCTACGTTGGAACTGTGTGCAGGGGCCTGGGGGGGGGGGGGTCTGTAATATTCTCAACAATAAAATTTAAAAAACAGAACTACTTTTGATAATTGCCATCATTTCTGTAACAGGTCATGTGGTGGTAGTTAGTATTTATGATTAACTACCTTCTTCCACTACCCACTCTATTTCCTTTGCTGGTCTTGGTTCTTTACCTGGTGCGGTGACCCAAACCTTCATTTCTGAAGGTTCTGATCTCTGTTGTGGACTAGTAGTCCAGTTTCTCCTTGGTAGTCTGTATCAGTCACCCAGCCAGCACCTAACTCCCTTCTCTGCCTATTGGTTCAGAGGTATAAGGATCTCAAAGTGGCCAGGTGAGTCTACTTCCAGTTTAGTGAAATTATTGTTGTGACTCTTGGTGGAAGCATTCCTCCCTCTGGAACTAAGACTTGAAGATCAGCAGAGTATAGAGTCTCAAAGCAGATATTTTGCTGGTGAGTCACTAGGGGTAACAGTGAGTGGTATCATTCCTATTTCTACCTCTTGATTCCTGTATCTGTGAATCCTTATTATGGAGAGGGGAAAAAAACACACCCATATATTGGACACTGATTCAAAGCATATTCATACTTCTGGAGAACCTTGCTCCAGTCCTTCACGTTATTGCCATTTAGCTGTCACCGTAACTAAGTCTTCAGAAAAGCCATCCCATTGTTCTGTCTAGCCATTTTCTTCAGGATATTAAGGACCATGGTAAGACTAACAAATTCTGTGAACTTGAGCCCATCATTGCATTTCTTTTGCTGTGAAGTGAGTTCTGTGTTCAGAAACAATGCTGGTGGATAAGGCATTCTTTAAGTCCATTGATGCTAATTTGACAAACACGTTGCATGCAGGGAATGCACAGCCATATCCTGAGTGGGTGTCTAGTGTAGTAAGAACAAAATGTTGCCTTGTCGACAAACTCATTAGTCAACAGAGCCAAATATCAACAGTACAATGATTGAAATTTCTTTTGAGAGCCAGATTTTTAAAACTTCTTCTAATGTCACTTCTTCAAAATAGACTCGGTGGTATTTTGTGGAAGAGCCACATTCAAGGGGCCAAAGAGCCGCAGTTTGCTGACCACGGTCTAGTGTAATCAACCTGCCACCAGGTGGCTGACTGATTGGTGCCATATCAGGGATTTGGTGTTGGTCTCTGCTCCTGGCAGATTGGACAGTCAGCAGTGGCTATAACCTCAGTGAATGGAAATCCATGTTGTTGAGCCCATGCATAACCTTCCTCCCTGTCACCATGACCACTTTGTTCATAAGCCTGTTTGGGGACAGTGATGGAAGTGGCTAGGAAGGAGGCTGACTGCTATCCACAGAATAGATCATCCTATCCAATTGATTTTACAACGAAAATACTTTTTGTCCAACAAAAGTGTGTGAATATAATTGTCCAGGGTAAAAGTGGCTAAGCGGAGTTAGATTCATCCTGAATACTTTTTAAAGGTATTTCAATGTTTGTTTAATTTTCAGTAACACGTTTGTATCAAAAAACTTCCTCTGGCTCAAATCAGTAGGGTCCAGGTGGAAGAATTATAAAAATGCTTTCTATTCATTTCAATTTAGTGTGAAATGTAACATAAAATATTGATACCCTTTAAAAAGGAAGGTATATATGTAGGATTACTGCAATAGTCCAAAGAAAGAGTTGACGGCATGAATAAAAATAAAGACAATAAAGATGGATAGGAAGAGACAAATTCAAGAGAGATCTAGAAGAAAAATTATTCACGTTCTATGATTATAAGGGGAATTATAAGGGGAAGTTTTGACTTGGTCATATGTTAGACGGTGGGATTTTTAGCAAAATAGTAATACATTAGGAAGGAAAGATGGGGAGTTAAGTTTTGACATGTTGAATGTGAGGTGAATATGAGATCAGCCAAATTCAAAAGACCAGTAGGACATTGTGATTATGGATCTAGCTTAATGAAAAGATGTGGGCTGGAATTATGGACTTGAGAGTCCCATTCCATTCCATTCCATTCCATCCCATTCCAACATTGTTTGTCCCCTCTCTCTCTTCTTGTCCTTCTTTCCCTCTTCCTTCTCCATTTTGCTATTTTAATAGATGCTTCCTTGGTGATATCATACATCTTCTAAATAGACTATATAAATCAATATCTGATTCTGCCTATACATGCAGACTACTGTATAGACAATGGAAGAAATCACATAGGATGGGTTTACAAAATAAGAAAATTAAAGGAAAAATTGAGAGAAAACACAATATTGAAACTCATGGATAATTATCTGAAGTAGAATTGGTAGAGGAGATACAGAAGAAAGGCAGGAGAACCAGGGAAGAGAAATATCCCAAAATCTAAGGCAGGAGAAAGTTTTATTTAAGATTAATCAGTTGACTGGTGAAGATAAGAGCTGTTTACAATTAGAGCTGTTTTATCAAGAACTAAGGCTAGTTTGCAATGGATTGAGGAACAAATGGGAAGTATGGAAGGAGAAGTAACATATAAAGTGTGAAATTTAGAGTTTACCACTTGAACAAGAGAACAATTAGAAGTTTTGTAAATTTTATTGAAAAGATTTCTCCCAATCTTAGTAACACTGTTTCTTGGATCATTTGGTTTATGCCAGGTCAATGAGTCCATTCTCATATGGGCCACTTGGATTTGATGTATTCCTGGGGATTTTCTAAAATAGAGTCTTGGCAAACCTGAACTGCAGTTTCTAGGGCTTTAGATTAAGGGCAAAAAATCCTGATAGTATTCATAAAATAACTATGATCTCATTAAACAAAAATGATGACACCTGTTATTTGGTCATTCCAAAAGAGTGCCTTTCCCCTATTTGGTAAGGTAAGTATTTGCTAAAGTGATATACTTGTTTCAGATGTATTTCTTGTAATGAAATGTTTTAATTATATAGAAAATTACTAGGTGAAATAATGTGTAGTGTAATGTATTGAATTAAAAAGTCTGTATTTGCTTACTAAGTGAACTGTTCATTTTTAAAAAATTGTGTCATATGTTTGGGTAACTAGGGTAAGGGAGTACCATATGTTTTAATTAGGTACCTAACAGTTTTTTTAAATAGAGTTTTAGTCTAACATCTGATTTGTTCCTAATATTCTGAAGAATAAAAGGAGCCATTCTCATGCTAGTTCAATAGGAGGTTGTTCTCTATGATTCTATTTGGAAATTACGAGTTGTCACTTTTTCTTTACTACATTAGTTAAATGTAAAATGATCCTTTATTTTAGTAAGTTTCAAGGTGGCGAATTAGATATATTTTTGCTTTTTCAGAACAACTTTTGTGTCGAAACTGGTTTAAAGAGGATTTTTTTAAAAGTGGCTGCATTGCTATTCACATTATAGCATAGAAGAGGAAATGGAAACGTTTCATGCTTGTACGGTTAATTTGTTAATGCAGCATCTGCATTTTTCTCTGCTTCTAGCACTAATTTTTATGCATATTTTTAAAGAGATCTATATTTCTAAAAGAAAATACATTTTTGTTTTGCTGGTATTTAGGATGGTTCACATTATTGTGGATCCCTTGCTTTTATTTCTATTAGATTAAAATAGAATTTTCAGTAAATTTGTACTTATTTTCTGTAGTTCATAACAGTACTATCCAATAAAAATATAATGAGCCACATTGGCATTTAAAATGCCACATTAGAAGTAGTAATTAATAATTACAAATAAATGAATATTTTTGTTTAACAGTATATTAAAAATATTATTTGAACAGGTAATCAGTATAAAAGTTATTAATGAGATATTTTACCCTTTTTATTTCACATTTCAAAATCCAATTTGTATTTTCCACTTACAGCCTTTCTCAACTTGACCGAGCCACATGCAATGCTCAGTAGCCACAGGCGCAGATGGTTGATTACAGTATTGTACAGTGCAGTTCTATGGAATCAGGACACATTCATAGTATCTGGATGGATAGAAAAATAAAGAGATATTTTCTATAAATTGGATTTGATTAGTGTGATAACTGGTTACCAACACTCAATAATGTGATCATCTTTATGGATGTCAAAGTTTTTTGTTTTGTTTTGTTTTTTTTTTAATTTTATTGATTTTTCACAGAGAGGAAAGGAAAGGGATAGATAGCTAGAAACATCGATGAGAGAGAATCATCGATCAGCTGCCTCCTGCACATCCCCCACTGGGGATATGCCTACAACCAATGTACATGTCCTTGACTGGAATCGAACCCGGGACCCCTCAGTCCACAGACCGACGCTCTACCACTGAGCCAAACCGGTTTCGGCTGGATGTCAAAGTTTTTATTCATTGAAAAGTTATTTGGAGGAGATATGCTAAAAATATTGAATAGATGGAACTTTTATGTTTGATTGCCCTTAATAACTGTTCTGTGCCATTGCATTTATTTCTATTATACATCTTTATGCTTCATGAAATTTCATTATATGTCTGTAATTTGTAGCATAAATGCAGTTCCAGCTACAATGAAGACTTTGTGCTACAGCTAGAGAAGGAATTGGTTCAGGCCCGTCTGAGGGAAGCCGAGGCTCAGTGTGCTCTAAAGGAGATGCAGGATAAAGTCCTGGATATGGAGAAGGTGAGACCAACATAAATGCTGTTACTCCCAAAATAAAGGATATGTGATAAATATTTAAGTACTTATTGAGCAGTTCAGTTGGATTTGGTGATTTTACACATTAGAAAACTTACATATTGGATACTGAGAGATGAAAGGAAAAAAATGTAAGATTCCCAATTATTCTTTGTTGTTACCATACTACTCAAAGCCCATATTTAAGGGTAATAGTAGAGATTAGACTTCTTTTACAGGAAAACAGGATAATTTTGACATGAATAATATTTAAATTTGGAGAAGAGAAACTTAGGGGGTAAAAATGAACTGTTTTCAAATATTGTAATATCTTCTTCTGCAAGAGATTGGATATGACTAATACATAAACATTTCAGAGAGAATTTCATCTGAGTATAACTGTTATAGTTTGCCAAGCTATACTAAGCCACTTCAGGAAGATCTTTGCCTAAGGTATGCTATGGAAGCTAACTTATCTCTTTTCAAAGTCATTAAAAAAGTTGAAGGGTTATGCAAATAGTGGAAATAGGGCAGGAAATAATTTAATAAAATAGAACAGGAAATAACTATAGTCTGAAGTGGAATAATTTTTGCTAGAAAACTGCTTGCTATTTTATTTTGGAAAATTTATTCTATTTACTGAGGAAAAGGCCAACAAGGCCTTTGTGAAAATGCCTAACAGAATATTAGGTCTCTAACATGGGAGTTTTCTGGGCTCTATGATTTAGATAAGAAACTGGGCCTCTCTGTTTTGAATTTTTGATAGTAAGAAATGTCCTTGAGTCCATTTTAAAAATGGATTTCTTAAGGAGCTTTGTTGGTATTCATGGCATAGGGTAGAAAGGAAATTGGAAGGTTTTGTGCTTCCTTGGTTTATTTCATGCAGGGCTCTCTTTTTATGTATATGCAGTAAATTTTTGGTTTTCCATAGAGAAAATATTTAAAGTTCATCATAAAAATGTGTAGTTGGCAAGAACCACTTTATTTCATCAGAGATAGAAAATTTCATAGATTCAAGTTAATCTCATTAGTACCTCAGTTTACCTAAGGAGTTTTTACTGGGCATCTCATTTAGGATCTCTCAGAGGTCACTTCCCAGAGCAGTTTAATTCAGGGCTACCCTATATCATAAGGTGGGTCTTTCAGTATGGTAGGAGAGTGATCTAATAGTCACCTAGTCTAATAGTAGTATTGAATTTGTAACTATTAAATAGTGACTAACAACAGAGATTTTATACTCCTTTCTAAAGTGACATGCTGAGAAAATACAACAAAACAGATGGTAGGCTATTCTTTTCCACGAATCTTTAAAATGTAAATGATGTTATGCTTCATTTGGAGTTCTAATCACAGGTGAGTAAATTTATTGCCATGTTGGACAACCTTTTTAATTCTATTGGTTTGTAACACTGATTAGTAGAGTTAAACAAAGTAGAGTTAGACTTTCTGTGTTCTCAAAATTAATAGTTAGCCTTATGCAATTCCTGTGGGATGTAAAATAGTGCAGCTGCTTTGTAAAAGATTGACATTTAAAAAAAAATTAAATGTGGAATTGCCATTTGATTCGGCAGTTCTGCTCTTTGATAGATACTCAAGAGACTTAAAATCATAGGTCCACACAAAAACTTTTACACAGTTACAGCAGCCTTGTACATAATGGCCAGAAGTGGTAGCAACACAGAGTCTGTCAACTGATGAATGTATAAATAAAACATGGTATATCCATATAAACAGATGTTATTTGGCAAAAAAAAAAAAAAAAGAATGAATCTTAAAAACATGACAAGTGAAGGAAGCTAATTATAAAAGCCACCTATTGTATGATTCCATTTATATGAAAATGTCCTGAATAATTAATCCATAGAGACTGATGGAGTAAGGGGTGCCCTAGGGGTAGGGTTGGTGGGGGTGGAGTGTGGAGTGATTGGTAATGGTTATAGGGTTTCTTTTGGGGGTAATTAAAATGTTTGAAATTAGGTCAAGATGCTGGTTATACAGCCCTGTGAATATCTTAAAAACCACTGACTGGTATATAGTAAGAGTAAGTTTTATGGTTTTTGAATTATACTATATAACAAAAGGCTAATATGCAAGTTGACTGAACAACTAGTTGCTGTGACACACACTGACCACCAGAGGTAGATGCTCAATGCAGGAGCTGCTCCCTGGTGGTCAGTGAGCACCCACAGGGGGAGCGCCGCTCAGCCAGAACCCCTGAGCCCTGCTCACAGCTGGTGAGTGCAGGCGCAGTGGCGGGGCCTCTCCCGCCCCCACGGCAGTCAGACATCCCCTGAGAGCTCCTAGAATGTGAGAGGCCATAGGCCGGGCTGAGGGGACCCCCCCCCCCCGCCTTCCCCGAGTGCTCGGGCACTGGGCCTCTAGTCTATCAATAAAATTAAGTATAATTATATATGGGACAAAATAGCTCTTATATGCTTTATTTTATTTTATTCTTTACATTTAAAAATATCAAGTTAATTTTTTTCTTGCTTTAGAGAAACAACTCCTTTCCTGATGAGAACAACATTGCAAGGCTTCAGGAAGAACTCATTGCTGTGAAACTGAGAGAAGCAGAAGCTATTATGGGTTTGAAAGAACTTAGACAACAAGTCAGAGATTTAGAGGAGCACTGGCAGGTATATCAGTGTGTTTTGTGTGCTTTCTAAAAAGAGGGTAAAACCTGAGTATACAATTTGTATGAATTTGAAGTAGTTGATGACCAACACTGGGATATGACTTTAAAGTATGAAAGACCCTGTATAATGTACACAATTGAGAGAATTTATAAATTGCAATTACTTTTTAACTGTTTCTTCCTTTTGAACTCTTATAATTAAAGAAGATAAAATAGAGATCATCTTATTTTTGCTGTTATATTGTTGTAATTTATGTATTTTTTTCTAAAAACTTATAAAGAAATAATCCTTTATATAGTACATATTTCTTCTGTTGATATTAAATCCATTTTTCAGTATGAGATAATATAAGGCTGGCACCAATATAAATTTGTAACTTTTTATTTTTTTAATCCTCACATGAGCATATTTTTTCCATTGATATTTAGAAAAAGTATAAGTAGTCTAGGGGACACACAGAGAGAGAAAAATCAATGTGAGAAAGACATGAATTGGTTGCTTGGTTGCTTCTTGCATCCACTCCAACAGGGGCCTGGGATTGAACCTGCAACCCAGGTACGTGCCCTTGACCAGGAATTGAATCTGCAACCCTTCCACAGGCCAACACTTTAACTACAGAGCGATGCCAGTCAGGGCTGTAATTTGAAAATTGATATCTCACAAAATAGATCAGACATTTAGCTAGTTACACGCCAACAAATGTATTCACATATGAGAGAAACTGTTGACAACGAACAAAAATACAGATGCTATAAGAAAGGGAGAGCAGGAAGAAAACAAAAATTACATAGCATTTCAGATTAGTGATCTTGGGTTTGAATTTGGGGTAAGTGATGCATCTAGCAAAGACTGAAATTAATCCTTGACATTGCTGTTTGATATTTGGGAGGGGGTCCTCCCCCCCAAATATCAAACAGCAATAAATTGGAAATTAAAAATAAATAACCTGTACCTTTGCCATGGGTATTTTTAGGACACTTCTTGCTAATATTGCTTCCTTAATTCATGAATAGCCCCACTTTTTCCTTTTCTTGGGATTTCATTAAAAATAATGTGACAATCTCATTAAAAATTAGGGTAAAAATTGTATTGTTTATAATAATTCACAGTATTAAAAATTGAACTATATCTGAGTTATCCCAAATCGTCTACTTACTCGCAGTGAGATCTACAGTGTGACCTTTCTGAAGTTATTTAATCACAAATTCCATTTTTTTCATACCTGTATAATAAAGATAATAGTGCCTAATTTTTTTTAGATGTTTTGGGGATTAAACAAAATAATGTGTATAAAGTGCTTAACATACTACTAGACCTAAAATAATTGCTCAATAAAGTTAGCTCTTATTTTGATATTGGGAATATTTGTTGCAATATAATTTTTTTTGGTTTTAGCGCCACTTAGCTCGTACTTCTGGGAGATGGAAAGACCCACCTAAGAAAAATGCTGTGAATGAATTACAAGATGAATTGATGACCATTCGACTTAGAGAAGCAGAAACACAGGCAGAAATAAGAGAAATAAAACAAAGGATGATGGAAATGGAAACACAGGTAAGATGAAAAGCCCAATATCTTTAAAAAATATTATTAGCAGCCCTAACTGGTTTGGCTCAGTGGACAGAGCGTCAGCCTGCGGACTGAAAGGTCCCAGGTTCGATTCCGGTCAAGGGCATGTACCTTGGTTGCGGGCACATCCCCAGTAGGAGGTGTGCAGGAGGCAGCTGATGGATGTTTCTGTCTCATCGATGTTTCTAACTCTCCTTTTCCCTTCCTCTCTAAAAAAAAAAAAAAAATCAATAAAATATATTTAAAAAAATATTAACAGATCAAAAATTTATGCACAGATTTATGCCTAGAACAGAGCTAAAAGGTGGACATGTGAAACTATTTGGACTACAATTTGTAGCCCAAATAAAAAGGGCTAAAATTATGGTCTTTGCTATCAGAGACTTAATGTCTTTGACTCATTCAACCAAACTTAAGCAAGTTGTAATACTCCATTTGACTTTGTTAGCTTGTTACATAACTTGAGGGAATATTCATGTAGAGCAAAATTTCTCAATCTCAACACTATTCACATTTTTGGACCAGATGAAGTCTTTATTGTGGGGACTGGCCTGTGTATTTTAGGATATTTAGTAGCATCCTTGGCTTCTACCCACTAGATGTCAGTAGCACCTCCCCAGCCCCCACATAGTAATGATAAAAAATATCTCTACACATTGCCAGATGTCCTTGGCAAAATTCCCTGGTTGAGAACCACTGGTATAGAATATAAAGTGAAAAATGATTTCTAAAGTTGTGTAATGTGATTCTGAATGAGTCAGTTCAAAATTATACTTTTTTCTTTTCAAATCCCCCTTTCTCTAATAAACTCTATTTTAAATATATTTAGGATATGAAAGGTCCTTTTTATGATATCCATTTGTATTATAAAGGTACATGTAGTTTTTATGTGATGCATTTGTGTGGGCCATATTCTCTGTTCTCTATAATGTTATTTGGTTTTTAAAATACTTATTCAGTCAGTAGGGGGCATAGCTAACTCAGGTATCAGTCTGTATACTTATGTGCAAAAAACAGTCATTCCAACTTAAACATAACGTGAATATATAAATCCTTTAAAATAATAAATATGTTTTATTTTACATTGTTCAAAGTTATTTTCTTGTATTTTTCATTGTTGTAGTTAAAAATAACTGTAAGATGAAAAGTAGAAATCTAGTTTTTATAATCAAATGTTATCTCAGTATAGATATTAAAGATGCAAACACAGTTTTTAAGCCATGTTCAGGATTTATTTCAGAGTGTGTATAAGTGAATGAGTCAAATTCAACAAATGTGGTTTCGAGAACTTGTGATAATAAAGTACTGTCCAACCTTCCAAGAACGTATACTTAGGGAATCAGGCATTCACAAACTATATTTAATATAATTTATTTTCTGAGATGATGGATATTAATTATTATGGTAATCACTTCATAATTAAGTCAGGTCATTATGCTGTACACTTTAGATTTATACAGTATTATATGTCAGTTATATCTTAATATAACTATAAAAATATATCATCAGAAATATGGTAATTAGAGAGTTAGATAGAAATTGCTATGGAGAATGGAGGGAAGAATTAGTTCCAACTAGGTGGTTTGGTGGAAGGTTCCCTAAGGATTTTGTATTTTGAATTGGGCCTGACTAACGAGTGTGATTTTGGATAAATTTTGGTAGAAGAGAAATGGTTTCTAAGTGCCAGTGCTTGAACTGGAGATTATCCATGAAGTTTTCCCATTGCAAAATGTGAAAAATAAAGACAGTGGTTTAATAGTAATGTTATATTAACATTCAAAGAGTTTTACATCAAACACCTATGGACCCAGCCTCCAGGTTAAGACATATGTCCTTGTTGATACATATAGTTCCAGTTTCAGTATCCACCTACTGTGCATATCTTAGTTATTGAACCACACACCTCTTTGTACCAATTTTGCTATTATCGATACAAAGAGTGTTGCTCTGAACATTCCTGCACATGTTTCCTTGTGTATATCTCTGAGAGTTTCTTTTATAAGGGGTTTTATTATTTTTCTGTGCCATGAACCTCCCTTTCAGTCTGAAACCCATGACTCTCTCAAAATGTTTTTTAATGCATAAAATAAAATATATAGGATTATAAAGCAAACCAGTTACATTGAGATAGTTATTAAAGTGCTAAAAGGCAAACAAGGTTGTGACAAGAACATTTACATAGAAACATATACAACACATGACCATTGCTGGATTCAGGTTTTTCATATGTAGGTTTTGTTGAACCTAAGTTAGGTTTTCCTTTTTTGGAGAGACTCTTTCCTGATTTTTGTTCCAAGGTGAATGAGTTGGGTTGTATTTTGGCCTTTCCTGTTCTCAGGAATTTTATATAAGATTGGTTACTCATTATTTTAATATTTGCTGGAATTTCTATCTTTAAACAGCCTTTCTTTGTGAGTATAGAAGCTATTGATCCTAGTTGTTACAGATCTCATGCTTTCTATGTCTTCTTGAGTCTGGTTTGCTAAGATAAAGCAAAATTCTGTAAGACTTCAAGAAAATGAAGAAGACACAAACACTATTAAGAATAAAAAAGGGACATAAATACAGGGTGGGGCAAAAGTAGGTTTACAAGTTTGTATGGAAAATAATACAGTAATTTGTAAATAATAAGAATAAACTCTTGTCAAAACCGATTTGGCTCAGTGGATAGAGTGTCGGCCTGTGGACTGAAAGGTCCCAGGTTCTATTCTGGTCAAGGACATGTACCTTGGTTGCAGGCACATCCCCAGTAGGGGGTGTGCAAGAGGCAGCTGATAGATGATTCTCTCTCATCGATGTTTCTAACTCTCTATCCCTCTCTCTTCCTCTCTGTAAAAAATCAATAAAATATTAAAAAAAAATAAATAAACTCTTGTGTTGCATACTCACAACTGTAAACCTCCCTTTGCCCTACCTGGTATAGATTCAGTGAAAATACTTTTTTTAAAAGATTCTCTGAACAACTTTAATTGATAAACTTGAAATTTTCAAATTTTGATGAAATTAGACATCTCTTTTGGGAAATATGAGTTGAAGTGGTTTTTACTTTGCTTTTTCTCTGAGTTTCTAGGACCTGTGGCACTATGTCTACCATAAAATTTGGAAAATTCTGGATCATTATTTCTCAAAGTATTCTTCTGTTTCATACTGTCTTCTTTTGGGATTCCAGTTTCACATGTGTTAGATTGTTTAAAGATCAGCAACTCTTGGATGCTCTCTTCTTTTTCTCTCCATTATTTTGATATCACCTATCTGATCTTGCATGTTTTTCACCTTTTCCTTAGAGCACTTAGCACATTAATCACAGTTATTTTAAATCCCGTCAGATAATTTTAAAATCTGTGTCATATAAGAAGCTGGTTCTCTTGATTACCTTCCCTCTTGGTAATATTTTGTTTTTCTTATCTTTTCCTAAGCTTTGTAAAATTTTCTGTCGAAAATTGAATACCTTGTGTAGGACAGTAGACTGAGGTAAATAATTTTTATGCCTGGTTATACGCACACCTTTCCTTCTGCTGGGACTTTAATGTAGGGGATTTGAGTTAATATAGTTAGGTGTTGGGCTGGGTTTGAGGTTTGTTGTTTCTGTGGTTAACCCTCATTACACCACAGACTTCAAATTCCTCTAACAATATCTTACTTTTAGATTGGGGGCTGATTTGCCAAAGCATTCTCTCAGTGTCTCTAGGTTTTCCATTTACATAGCACCTCAGAGAGTGTCAATCTACAGCAGTAATCCAGTTACCTGTACAGGAAGTTGGCTGGGCAGAAAACACCTCTGTCCTATTGCTTTGACCAAGTCTCAGCCTTCTGCACTGTCCCTGAACCTGGGGTATTTGGCCTTCTTGCCGGACCTCCAGCTATAGTCCTAGGCTCAAATATAGTCCTGCCCCTTCCTCAGAATAAAAATTTCCCTAGTGCCCAAAGGAAATTAGTATTCCAAGCAAATTAAACCTTTTACTCCCTAGAGGAGGCAAGCAAGAGTTAGTGCCCCTCCCATATTGGCTGCTATTACCCTTCCTCAAACCTGAACCTTTGACCTCTCTTTCTCAAGATTATCATCAATCTTTTTGTGTATACCTGTTATGGCCATGAAGAGCTTTGTAAACTTTGCTGCCCCACTTGGACTCCATACTTGGCCTCCATCAATCTGATACTTAATCTAGTTGAAATATGATTAATAGCTTCTGACTGCTTCTGCCTTGTCTCTCCTTAGATTTGGGGCTAGTTGGTTGCCCTCTGATCTCACTTCTATGGGTTCAATAAAAGCCGTGAACGTAGAGTTTGACTGGCATTTTTCTCTTTTTTTAATTGAAAGGGTGGACAGAATGCTCTTTCTGACTCTAGATTCCTGACAAGAATTCAAAAGTCTTTATTATGATACATTTAAAATTATTTTGTAATTTTTTTGTCTTCCTTTTCTCTGCTTTTTCCTTATTTATTGCTTTTTATTGGCTTACTTTTGTTCTTCTCTCCTCTAGTGTGACTTTCATAATTCACTTATATCAGTGTATATTACTTGACAAATATTGATAATGCTTACTTGACTAAACAAAGACTAAAGTTAGCAATTATCTCTGTCTTCCTTCTAAACTGTAGTAAGGGCCTTAGATGAATTTCATGTGCTCTTCCATCTTCAGATCATACATTTTACTGTTATTGTATATTTTTTTTATACATCCAAATTACTAGACATTATTGTTGTTTTATGGGATCGATGCTTATTTGGATCTGTCTACCTATTTTACCAATTTTTTTGCTCTCTATTATTTTACATTTCTTTCCAGTTTCAATCATGTAATTATACTTTCACTTTCTGAAAATAAATATGCTTTCTCTCACTCTTGTGTAAAAGTTTAGCTGAATATACTATTGGAGGATGAAATTTATTTTTTTTAAGCACTATGTATTTTTTCTGTTGATATGTCTGCCAGATATTTCATTTTTCCTCTTCACAGACTAAGATTTTACCTTGATTTGCCTCTTTTTTTCTTTAGCATTCTAAGTTTGTTACATACTCTTTTGGTGAGGATTTTATTTGTCCTATTTGGGACTAGTTGTGTTTCCTAAACTTCATTTGGATTTATATGTAGGTTTTTTTGGTGTTTTTTTTTTTTCAGTTGTAAAAAATTCTCAACTATTATCTCTTAGAGCAGCAATTTGCAGCTGGTGTGCTGCAAGAATTTTTAAAACGTGCAATACCTGACTATTTAGTCAGAGGCACTGACCTCTTTTCCCTTCGATCAGGGGTGAGAAACCTTTTTTTCTGATAGCAGCCATTTGAATATTTGTAATATCATTTGCAGGCCATATAAAATTATCAACTTGAAAATTAGCCTGCTAAATGGGAAATATCTGTAATACTATTAACAATAAAACATACATTTTTAAAAAGCCTGCTTTTGGCCATATAATAAACTCACACCTAATGACTTAGCAGGGCCAGAGCAAAGGATTTTGCTGGCCTTATATGTTCCGTAGGCCGGATGTTCCCCAACACTGCCTTAAGTTGTCAAATAAAAAAATGACAACAGTCAACACAACAATAGCCATCTTATATGAATACATTGAAATTATATCTATTTTTTTTTGTCAGAGTAGCAAAAATATATCTTTTTAGTGTGCCTGCCAGGAGACAAAAGAGGTTGAAAATTGCTGTCTTAGGCCATCATCTCTCACCTCCTTTATTTCCTTCTATTTTATCCTGCAATCCATACTAGGCAGGTTTTGTTTTTTTGTTTGTTTGTTTGTTTGTTTTTGTACTTTCTTATTCTCTTTTCTATGTCTTATTTCTGAGGCACTAATTGTTTCTTCAGTATATTTAACCTAACCTTTAATTGGATTTTTAATATCAGTGGCTATATTAATTTTAGAAATTGAACTTGGTTATTTTTTTTAATTTGTCAAATTTTATTGACAGTTACTTGTGCTTTGGTTTTGCTTTTGCTTCCTATTTATGTCCAATAATTTTGAACATAAATTATTTTATATAAAGTCCCTGTGATTTTATGATAGAGAGTTCTCAGTAATCTTGCTATTTTTTTATCTGCTGTTTCTCATTCATAGGCAGTTTTGGGGTTTTATGTGTGTTTTGTCATTCTGGATAATGGAATTGTAATCAGGGTGCAGGAGGAGTTTTATCTATGGGAATTCTTTGCAGCTTATCTTGAAGGTATGTTCCTCTGAAGTATAGTTATTTGTTTTAATGGTAGAAGGCAAGGCAGTAGAAAGAGGTGGTGGAACATTTTGAATACAATACTGAGAGTTTACAACAATTTTGTACACAGACAGTATTTGTTGAAAATGAAAAGGAAGAGAGTAATATAGAGGCATTCCTTAGAAAGGTGGCATTTCTTCTGTGAGACAGAAGGATAAGTAAAAATGAAGGTGAAGAAACCTGGAAAAAAATGTTGGAGTTTAACTCTATTAGATAATCTAGATTTTTTGTTAAAACTAGAGGCAGGGTCGATTTCAGAATAGATATAATGATAGAAACAATTGAGCATTTATTAAGTATCTTAAATTTCAGGCATTGTGTGAGATTCCTTTCATAAACTTTTCTCATGTAATTCTCACAACACAGCCTTGAAAGGCAAGTAGTAATATCTATGCTTATGCCAGTGTACTGAAATTTGATGGGATTAGATAACTTGACCATGGCTGAAGAACTGTTAAATGAGGAGCCAGATTTTACTTGTCTTTGGTTATGAAAATTCCTGTTGTTGCTTTTTTGAGGTTGAATAGAATAATTTAAGGTTGAGAAAATTCAGGCTGATTTTAGTTCTATGCTATCTCCAGTCAGTTGATTCAAGTTCTGTGAGGTTTTTTTTTTAGTTGTTTTTTTTTTTTTTTTTAGCATGTCCTATAATTATAATACAAGAAGCAGCTAGTGTTTGTTGAGTTCTTACTATATATTAAGCTAGTTACATGTATTATCTCAATTAATTCTGAAGAAAACCAAATGAGAAATAGGTAATATTTAAAAAAAAAATTTAAATTTATCTTAGAGAGAGGAAGGGATATAAAGAGAGAAAAGAGAGATAGGAAAATATTGATGTGAGAGAGAAACATCAACCCATTGCCTCCTCAGTGTGCTCCAACTAGGCATTGAACCCACAACCTGGGTATCTGCCCTGACTGGGAATCTAACCTGCGACCTCTCGGTGTATGGGATGATGCTCCAACCAACTAAAGCCACAGAGGCCAGCATAGTAGTATTTTTATATACACTTTCAAGTGAGGAAACTGAGACTCAAAAATATTAACTAGTTAGCTTAATCACCAAATACTAAGCCAGAATTCAAAATCAGTCCATGCTCCGTGAAAGTAGACTGTTCTGTGCATTGGAGGAATGTAGGCATGCACATGGAACATTTTGTGACATCAGGTTTACATCCAGTAAATGGTGTTGGCACCTTCAATTGGTCTGTGCTTTATTTTGAGAATTGGAAAGGAGCTAAATTCATCCTCATCCTGTATCTACCCACTTTGTATTACATTGCCTATTTCAGAAATTAATACCTTCAAGTTTTGTGTGACCATCTTTATAATTTATAGGCATTTATTATATAATGGTAAATTGAGCTATAATGGGAGTTTCTAATTATGGCCCTTATGTATTCATTTAGATAATATGATTTTAAAGCAGTTTTATAAATTTTTTACTTTTTTTTAGTTTTTAAGTATTTGTTGAATAAAATCAACCTATAAGTAATATACCAACATTTTTTATAATGTTGTATAAGTATGAAATGGGTAGGTAGAAATTTGTGAGTTTTTTCAGGCCTTTTGTCTGTATAATCTGAGTATTTGTATTTTTTTTATTATTAGAACCAGATCAATAGTAACCATCTTCGAAGAGCAGAACAAGAGGTGACCAGTCTTCAGGAGAAGGTGCAGTATCTTTCTGCACAGAACAAAGGACTGCTTACTCAGTTAAGTGAAGCAAAACGCAAACAAGCAGAGATTGAATGCAAGGTAAACATATTAAGTATCTGGTTGTTTTTGTCAATATAAAAATTCCTTTTTTGCTTTATCTCATTATTTATTACATCATCTTTAAACCAAATAAAGCCATAAGAAACTAGTTTAATTTTCCAGTTTTTCTGAACTTGGTTTGGTGGTTGCTTTCAAACCAGGACAGGGCATCTTGCTCTGAGGTGGATTTCCGGCAGGAAACCTTGTTTTCAGCCACTTGGTTAAGTGCCAGTGAATGAAATTAAGTTTACTAAGGGGTTAAAACTGGTATCTGTCTGCAACATTTCTTTTGACCTGTAGCCCTTTAAAACCAAAGCTTTTAAGGTCTCAACCAAGAAGATAGGTAATTTATAGAGGTTAGGGCTGCTCTGCCTTGATAGGTGCTTTATTAGTGGGCAGTGAATGTATTCACATGTTTTCTGGTTAGAGAGCAAAAGAAATGGGTGTGTGCCAATAGGTTGGGAAAACTGTGTCCATTTCTCATTATTTCTTTAATTCATTTTTCTATTTTTGTGTGAAGTGTTTGAATTCATAAAGCATGTAAAAGGGTTAGAATGCAAGTACATTTTTTTTTTCTGAAATAAGTTTATAGTATAGCAGTGGTGAAAGAGAGGAGATGGGTGGGAAGTGGGGTAGGAGGAGAGGGTGTGTGTGTGTGTGTGTGTGTGTGTGTGTGTGTGTGTGTGTGGAAATAAAGAGATGACTGTGGTCTGAGCATTAGAATGGATTACTGAGGACAAGTTATGGGATTTAAAAAACAAACTAGATATCCATCTTTCCATGGTGAGATAGTAGGAATGATGCCCTTTAAAGATTCCAGTTCTATTATTCTATGATAAGAAATAAGACTTTCAATGGCACATATAAAGCTGTAATTCCATCAACTTGTTCTGGTGTCATTAAAAACCAAGAGTGAAGCTTGAGTGGTTTATCAGTGTCACTGAAATCCAGAGATGAAATTACATCCTAATTAATATGCATGGCTGTTACAATTTACCCTGACAGAAATCTGTAGGCAGTACTGAAATTTGTACTAATTTCAGAGGAGTCCCTCTTAAAGGATATGACTAGACTAATTTAGAAATAAAATGATGTGGCATGAGTTTATATCAACTTGATTTGCTATATTAATATTTTATTGAGTGTTTATTATGCTATATTGTCTGTGCTGACTCATTTCTATTAAAGAACTAAATGTAATGTTTTTCATTATTGCTGTTTTTGTTAAAGCATGTTGATAACACTGTTATTGGATTTAATATTGCTCCTCAAATGCCTTACCACCTTTTAAAGTAAAGTGTTCTTTGGAAATAAATATTTGGGGAGTTTGCTGATGAATATAATTTTCTTTGAATTTGTCTAAGCAATAGGTTCAGATTTGGAATTTTAGAGAATTTAAGAACTCTTTTGAGATTAAAAAATTTTTAATTTTTCTTTAATACCTCTGTGAAGTATGTATGTTACAGATGCTGACTCTGATATTTCCTCTGCATTTAAGCTGTTTGTTGATTTATTTAATCTTTTATAATGCCTTTGCCTATTCAAGAATGACTAGTGTGTTATTTGTCTCTCTAGCACCTAGTACATTCTGATTAAGTGTATTTTACCTTTTTATGTTGGAACAATTCAGGAACAAACTATCTTTCAAGGAAGCCTGTCCTTCAATTATATAAATCTGATTCATTTTCATTTAGTTTTATATAATTAGACTTATTATTTGTTGATAAACATAGTAAATTTAATTTTTTATTTATTTAAAATGTCAGGATGCTATTTTAATATTAATATTAATGTTCTTTTCCCTTTGTAACTGAATTTGAATGTTCCCAATTTAAGATGAGATAGTTCAAATTTGTGATCCCCAATATGAAAACCCCAATCACTATAAAATCCAAAGGTGTTTTTTTTTTTTTTTTCATAAATTTTACACAAATTCATTTGTAAGCAAAACCTGATTTGAATTGAAATATGGTCATTTATCATTTTTGTTTATCCCAGTTGGTATGGGTATTTGTACTTCACTGCCTCATTGTGTTGAGCATTGAGTATACTATTTCATATGGATACCGCCTCAGCTCCTACTGGATAAGACTAACATATGGTTTATATACCGTATTACTTTTGTAAAATCTAAAATAATCTGAAATTTCATAGCACAATGGTCCCTAAGATTTCAGTAATTGGATTGAGGGATTTTCTACATAAATAAGAATTTGAAGATTATAGGGAGATTTTAAGTTCTCTAGTTCTACATATATTGATAAAACTTATAAAATTGTGTAATAAATAATGTTAAGTAAGGAAAGTCAGTCAAGGTATTTTACTATGTTTATACTACTAATATTATAACACTCCTTGTATCTCATTCTCCTCCTGACCCTACCACATACCTCTTCTTTCATTCCCCCTCCTCCCCCCAGGTTTATTATTATAAGTCCTTTTAGAGTTTCTTTTAGGCAAATACTGTGAAATAAATGTTCATACTTTTTCTTGTCCTCATTCTTTTACATGAAAATTAGCATACTGTATATTCTGCTTTTGCTTTTTTTTTTTCTGGTCATGCGTTTTCTAGAGTCTTAAATATCAGTTCTTAAAGAGTATTCTCGTTATTGATGGGCACATGGGTTGTTCCCAGTGTTTTACTACTATAAACAGAGTACCAGGTGTACCAGTTAATCATGTGGATTTTTTTCAATAGATGGAGTTACACATATGTTGATATGTATGCAATTTGATATGTATGCTATTTTGTTGTATTGACAGCAAGTTTCAAAACTTCATATGTCAAATTTTCTGAGGGTGTTAACATGTAGGTATTTTTACACTTAAAAATGTCAAATTTTGTGTCAAAAATAAGAGCATTTGTGGGAAGTTTTAATTCATTACTTTATTTTGAAGACAATGCTGCTGAAAGTGAACATACTCCATCTCAAGATACTTGTGAATGCTGGTTTAAATGCTTTAAAAATGATTGTTTCGATGTGAAAGACAAATAACATCCCAGTCACTTGAAAAAGTTTCAAGACCAACAATTAAAAGCATTATTGGATGAAGATGCATGTCAAACTCAAAAACAACTTGCAGAAAGATTAAACATTGCTCAGCAAACAATTTCCAATCATTTATAAGCAATGGGAAAGATTTTAAAGAAGGAAAATGGGTGCCACACCCACTGAACGAAAGACAAATGGAAAACCAAAAAGTCATCAGTAAAATGTTGCTTCAGCTGAAACTGGTTTGGCTCAGTAATAGAGCGTCTGCCTGCGGACTGAAAGGTCCCGGGTTCGATTCCGGTCAAGGGCATGTACGTTGGTTGTGGGCACATCCCTGGTAGGGGGTGTGCAAGAGGCAGCTGACCGATGATTCTCTCTCATCGATGTTTCTAACTCTCTATTCCTCTCTCTTCCTATCTGTAAAAAATCAATAAAATATATTAAAAAGAAATCTTTTGCATTGAATTGTGACTGATGATGAAAAGTGGATTTTGAGAATCCCAAACGCACAAAATCATGGGTTGATCCAGGTCAACCATCAACATTGATTGCAAGGCCAAATCGCTTCGGAAAGATGACAGTGCTCTGCATTTGGTGGGATCAGGAAGTTGTGGTGTATTATGAGCTTCTAAAACCAGGTGAAACCATTAATACTGATTGCTGCCAACAACAAATAATCAATTTGAACCACACTTTGATCATGAAACGACCAGAATATGCCAGAAGACATGGCAAAGTAATTTTGCTTCATGCTGATGCAGCATCACACATCAAAATCAGTTAAAGACACGTTAAAAGATCTTGCCTGGGAAGTATTAACTCACCCGCTGTATTCACTAGACCTTGCTCCACTTGTTCCGATCGATGGCACACACACTTTCTGAGCAGCACTTCAAAATGTATGAAGAAGTGGAAAATTGGGTCTTTGAATGGTTTGCCTCAAAATAAGAAAAGTTCTATTGGGACAGTATCCACAGATTACCTAAATATGGGGAAATGTGTAGCTAGCGATGGACATTACTTTGAATAAAGCACTTTTTATGTTTCTCTTGAAATTATCATGTTTTCTCTGATTACAAAATTTGCATTATTAACCAGTACACCTGGTATAGTGAATAACCTTGTAACATACATAATTTCAGATGTATAGAAATGTATCTTCACATTCATATAGGATAAATTCCGGTAAATGTTATTGTTTGGTGAATGGGTAAATGCATTTGTTCTTTTCATAGATTTTGACCAATTACCCTCCTTAAAGTTATACTGTTTTATACTTTGACCAGCAGGGCATTATGGTACCTATTTCTTCATCATGTTACTTACAAAGTGTCTAGGGCCGTGGTCGACAAACTGTAGCTTGCGAGTCTCATGTGGCTTTTTGGTCCCTTGAGTGTGGCTCTTCCACAAAATACCACGGCCTGGGCAAGTCTATTTTGAAGAAGTGGAGTTAGAAGAAGTTTAAGTTTAAAAAATTCGCTCTCAAAAAGAAATTTCAGTCGTCGTACTGTTGATATTTGGCTCTGTTGACTAATGAATTTGCCGACCACTAGTCTAGGCAAATATTTTTGTTTTAAATAGATGTAATTTACATTTTCTAGGACAGTGATTCTCAAATTGGTTTGGGAGGAGGTGAGATTATGAGGCTTCAAAGAATGATGGCATCTACTTATATATTTGAGAATTAAGTCAAATATTTGGCTGTCTTCTGTCAGTTACTCTTATAGGCACTGAGGATACAGTGAAGAAGGTGGACATAATGTTTAGTGAGATAATCAGTAAAATTGATAAGATCATTACTAATGATATACACTGGACTGGGTGTTAAGAGAAAGTGGTAATTAAGATGCAGTGCTAGAAGGTGGTATGAGAAGTGGGACCAAAAGAGGAGGAAAGAATCAGTCTTGTGAAGAGCCAGCACAAGATCCCTGCATGAATAGGGTCACAGAGTTCAAAAGCAGGAAAGAACTTGGTTGCTGAGTCTTGTATAATACATAATGAAAAGCTTAATGAGATGAAGCCAGGGAGATAGGCTGTGACTCTATTTCTTATACATTTTTATTCTCATGGCAATGAGTTTGGGTTTTGCTCTGTGGGAGGCTATTGAAACATTTTAAGTAGGAAAGCAATATATGATATGTTTTCTGTTTTACTGTATTTGCTTCAGATTTTTTTTACTTTTTAAAAAAAGTCTTTTAAAAAAGTGTTTATTGACTTAAGAGAGAGATAGAAATAACCTGAGAGAATCATTGATTGGCTGTCTCCTGTACACCCCATGCTGGGGATCACACTCAAAATCCAGACTTGTGTCTTGACCTGGAATTAAATTGTGACCTTCTAGTTCATGGGTCAGTGCTCAACCACTGAGCCACTCTGGCTGAGATATTTTTACTCTTGATTTTAAAATAATTTTATGTTTAAAATAATTTTATGTCTAAACGTGGCAAAGATAGTGCGGAGAATTTCCATAGACCCTTTCATCAGCTCATCTTGATGTTAACGTCTTACATAACCATGGTACATTTATTGATACTAAGAAATGAAAGTTGATACAATGTTAGTACTAATTACAGATTTTATTAGATTTTCTCATCATATCCCATCATTTCCTCTAATCTGTAACAGCACGGATATTGTAGAATATGGTTTTAGAGTTTTTTTCTTTGTGACATTTTGAAGTGGTGGGGTAAGTATTGCAGAATTGTGATAAAATCTAATTTTTATTATTATTTGTAAATAGTACAATGTAAATATTTATTAGCATTTATTCTTCAGAAAGAATATAATTTTTAAAACTTTATCTACTAACATTGTTAGTATTCATATCTTTGTTATTCTGTTGTCCTGGTTAAGGGTTTTGAAAGTTCTTAATAATTGTTCTTCCATAAAAAACTTTCAGTCACTAATAATTTTAATAAATTTAATTATGTGAAATTTTAATTTAAATATTTTGAGCAATATTAATTTATATGAATGATATTTCTTAATATATAAAGATGGGATGCTATCCTATATATTTATTTCATATCAGGTTTAGGAGATATTGGCCTTTTCTCATTTGATGGGCTTATTTGTTATTTTCTAAATTTTAAGATAGGTTGCAGAGTTTCTGTTTCCGTATTAATTTATCTTTAGTTTAATTATATGGTTAATTATTGGCTTGTTGTATTTGTCACCCTAGAACAAGGAAGAAGTGATGGCCGTGAGACTGCGGGAAGCAGACAGCATAGCTGCTGTGGCTGAACTGCAGCAGCACATCGCTGAGCTTGAAATCCAGGTACCATATGGACATAATAAGATACACATACAAATAATGCAGTCATTTCCTCTCCCTCTGTGCCTAAGCAATTATATCTCCATCTGAAAATGACTGTGATTCTGTTTTCAACACTTACTCATTTCTAAGTCTGTTCTTTTTATTGTTGTTGTATGTGTATAGTTCTGTGACATTAGGTACATTCACGTTATTGTGCAACTAATCTCCAGAACTCTTCATCTTGCAAACCTAAAACTTTATACGAATTAAACAACTTCCCTTTCTCCTCTCTCCCAACCAATGGGAACTAACATTCTACTTTCTGTCTCCGAATTTGACAATTGTAGGTACTTCATATAAATATAGTCATGCAGTGTTTCTTTTTGTGACTGGCTTATTGCACTTAGCATAATGTCATTAAGGTTCATCCATGTTGTGGCAAGTGTCAGAATTTCATTTTTAAGGCTGAATAATATTCCATTGTGTGTGTGTGTGCGCCACATTTTGTTTATCCATTGATGAATACTTGAATTGCTTCAGGTTTTGGCTATTGTGAATAATGTTGCTATGAACCTGGTGTACAAATATCTGTTAGAGTCCTTGCTTTCAATTCCACCTGTGAGTGGAATTGCTGGATCCTGTGGAAATTCTGTGTTTAATTTTTGAGATGTTGTTACACTATTTTTCACAGCAGCTGCAGCATTTTACATTCCCACCAGCAATGCACAAGGGTATCGATTTCCTCACATCCTCACCAATATGTATTAATTTTATATTCTTTTTTCAAAACCCGCCATCCTAATGAGTTGTGTCTGATATCTCACTGTGGTTTTAATTTGCATTTCCTTAATGATTATTAATATTAAGCATCTTTCATGTGCTTATGTGTCTTTTGTGTATCTTTTTTAGAGAAATGCCTATTCATGTCTTTGCCCATCTTTTAATGAGGTTGTTCTTGTGTTTTAGAAGTTTTTTATAGTGTCAGTCCCTTATCAGATATGTGGTTCACAAACATTTTCTCCCGTTTCATGGGTTGCCTTTTCACACTTATTTTCCTTTGATGTACAAGAGTTTTTTGTGGTTTTTTTTTTTTTTTGAAGTCCAGCTTACAGGGTTTTCTTTTGTTGCCTGTGCTCCAAGTCCATTTTTGAATGATAATGATCACATTTCTATATTGTCAAAGCTGTTTTTAAAAGAAAATTCAAAGCTTTAAAAATAACTGTTGTGTTATTTCTTCTTATACAATACCAGAGGCCTGGTGCATGAATTTGTGCACGGGTGGGGTCTGGCCGGCCCACCCTGATTGGGGCTGATCAGGTCGGGTCAACTGGAGGGAGGGACCACAGGTGTGATCATCCACGGGGGAAGGGCCACTGGTGGTTGGTGGGCCAGCCCCACCCCTGGTCGAACTCCCAGTTGAACTCCCAGTGGAGGGGACAATTTGCATATTAGTCTTTTATTACATAAGACTAGAGGCCCAGTGTATGAGATTCGTGCACTGGAGAAGGGGGAGATCCCTCAGTCCGGCCTGAATCTTCTTGCAGTCCGGGAATCCTTGGGGAATGTCTGACATCCCTCTGCAGTCCGGGATCCCTTGCTCCTTACCACCTGCCTGTAACGGAGACAGGAGAGGCTCCAGCCACTGCTGCTGCACTTGCCAGCCATGAGTCTGGCTTCTACCTGAGCGGTGCTCCTCCTGTGCAAGTGCACTTACCACCAGGGGACAGCTCCTGTGTTGAGTGTCTGCCCCTTGGTGGTCAGTGCGCATCATAACGACCAGTCATTCTACCATTCAGTCTATTTGCATATTATGCTTTTATTATATAGGATAAGGTAATATGTATATATCCAATATAGCAAAGTATAATGTTTAAAATCTTATTTCTCTCACAGTTTTTTATTTTGATCTGTTCCAGGCTACAAATACAGTTTCTCTGCAAATCTAGAATTTTCTTCCCACCTGAAAAATAATTTTGTCCTTAAATTTCACTTAAAATTCAGTTAAAGTTGCAGGGTCCTCCCTGGCCCATGCCCTGATTGGGACATGTAGGATGTAATCAATTGATGTATTCTAAGACTTATATATTATAACCTTCAGTTATTTACATTGCTATCATATGCAACTCTAGTTTAATATGTACTTTTCTAACATCAAGAAAATTATTAAAAATGTTATACATTAGTCACAAAATAGCAAGATTTAAATCACTCTTTTTATTGATTCTGAAGTACTTATTAAAATGAAGAACTTGGTATAATGCATTTTTAAAAAAATATATTTTATTGATTTTGTACAGAGAAGGGAGAGAGATAGAGAGTTAGAAACATCTATGAGAGAGAGTCATCGATCAGCTGCCTCTTGCACACCCCCTATTGGAGATATGCCCGCAACCAAGGTACATGCCCTTGACCGGAATCAAACCCGGGACCCTTTAGTCCCCAAGCCGACGCTCTATCGATTGAGCCAAACCGGTCTCAGCATGCATGTTTTATTTAAAATGAAATATAACATTTCATTTTTGAAAAATATAAATAAAAATGCACAAAATTTTTACTATTAATAGCATGTTAGCATCAAATGGCACTTGATAAGTGATCACTGGAATTCTGATTGCCAAATTCATTGATATTTTTAAAAAATTTAATGTTTATTGTTCAGATTATTACAATTGTTCCTCTTTTTTCCTCTTATAGCTCCCCTCCACCAGGTTCCTACTACACCCTCTGTCCTTACCCCCCCACTATCCTCACCCATAGGTGTACATTTTTCAGTCCCTTCCCACATTCCCCACTCCCCTTTTTCCCTGAAAATTGTCAGTCCCTTTCTATGCCCCTGATTCTATTATATTCACCAATTAATACTGTTCATCAGATTTTTTATTCCCTTGGTTTTTAGATTCAGTTGTTGATAGATAAATATTTGTCGTTCATAATTTTTATCTTTATCTTTTTCTTCTTTTTCCTCTTCTTAAAGAATAACTTTCAGCATTTCATATAATTCTGGTTTGGCAGTGGTGAACTCCTTTAGCTTTTTCTTATCTGTGAAGCTCTTTATCTGACCTTCAATTCTGAATGATAGCTTTGCTGGGTAGAGTAATCTTTGTTGTAGGTTCTTGCTATTCATCACTTTGAATATTTCTTGCCACTCCCGTCTGGCCTGCATAGTTTCTGTTCAGAAATCAGCTGACAGTCGCATGGGTGCTCCCTTGTAGGCAATTAACTGTTTTTCTATTGCTGCTTTTAATATTCTCTCTTTGTCTTTTGCTCTTGACATTTTAATTTTGATGTGTCTTAGTGTGGTCCTCTTTGGATTCCTTTTGTTTGGGGTTCTGTGCGCTTCCTAGACTTGTAAGTATTTCTTTCACCAGGTGGGGGAAGTTTTCTGTCATTATTTCTTTAAATAGGTTTTCAGTATCTTAATCTCTCTCTTCTTCTGGGACCCCATAATTATGATGTTGGTATGCTTGAAGTTGTCCCAGAGGCTTCTTAAACTATCTTCAACATTTTGGGTTCTTTTTTCTTTTTCCGGAGGAGTTTTTTTTGCTTCTTGGTATTCCAAATCTTTGACTTGATTCTTGCCATCCTCTAGCTTTTAGGTCTCTATATAACATTTTTTATTTCAGTCAGTGTATGCTTAATTTCTAGTTGATCCTTTTTCATATCCTCGAGGGTCTTGTTAAATTTATCAGCCTTTTCTAGGAAATTATTGAAAAACCTTATAACCGTAGTTTTGAACTCCTTATCCAGCTTGCTTTCCTCCATTTCCTTCATTTGTGGCCTGCCTTTTTGTCTCTGAATTTTGGCTGCTTCCCTGAGTTGATAGAGTTGCTTTGTATGCTAGGTGTCCTAGCAGGGCCCAGTAGCTCAGCCTCCCCAGTTACTTCAGGTGGACACCCTTGGTCCACCCCTTTGTTGGCTGTGTGTGCAGTCTTGTTGTAGTTAAACCTTGCCTGTTGTTGTTATCACTGTGGGGAGTTAACCTCCAGGCCAATTGGCTGTGAGGATCAGCAGTGTCTCCACTGGGAGGACTTCTGTGCTCAGTTTGGATGGATAGAGTCTCGGTGGAGCAGACAGCCTTGGGATCCCGTCAGCCCCTCCCTAAGAGGGCCCTGTGTCTCATTGTCCCTTTGCAGTGGCTGCATGTACATCTGAGAGAAGGCTGCTCTCAAGTTTCGCCCTCTATCAGACAGTCCAGTTTCTCCCAAATGAGTCTGGTACCCAAAGTCTCACCTGGAGCTGGAGTTCAGTGCAGTTGGGAGGTTTTGTTTTCTTCCCGAACAAGAAAGCTAGCCATGCGTTTGCTGCCCATCCTTTCAGTGTCCCGCAAGTAAGCCAGCCCCGTATTCAGCCGCCTGGCCTTTCTGTGCACATGGGTCTTCGTACCTCCTCAGCTCCTCTGAGTCTCAGTGTCCTTTTCTCTTTCCTTCTAGTTGTAGAATTTCCTCTTAGCCAGCTTTCCGGTGGTTCTGGATGATGTTCGCTCTGTCTTCCAGTTGCAATTTTAAAATTGTTGTGTGAGGCGGTAGTATAGGAATTTACCTTATGTCACCATCTTGGTTTCTCCCAAATTCACTGGTATTTTTTCAGTATTTGTCTTGCTTGATCCTGTCTCATTTGTCATTGTTGATCTTTCATCCTCTTTACATTGTCTCTACCCTTGGCTTTCCTAACAACACTCACTTTGGACTTTCTTCATTCTTTCTAAACTGTTGTTTTCAGTCTTCTTTATCAGTTTTGAATCTTTGTATTCTTCCAAAATACGAGTTTTGAGTGTTTTAAAAACTGTATTCAAATGAAAAGTCTCACCTACATGGCTTCTGGAGCAATCTTTACAAGTGATTCCTAATATATGTCCATCCCTAGCATGTGCTACTTTATAAGGGATATTATCAACAGAACATACAGAATACCCTTTTATAAACTTACTAGTGGCCCATTGCAGGAAGATTCCTGCAAGAATAGGGCTTCCTCAGGCCTATTCCTGCAAAAATAGGGCTTCCTGCAGCCGTCTCTGCCACCTG